GACTTTTGCTTCATTTCGTTACAGTCACTAATATGATGAGATTTATTACAATAAGTACACGACACAACGTATTTATCAGATGAGGTTTCTGTTTGGAACGAAACAGAGTTGTTTCCCTTGTTGAATATCTTATTACCACTGTAGTTTTTGTGTTTGTAAGGTTCACGGTGGGATTTCGAACCACGTTTAGAGTTCCTAAACATAGCAACAGGATCACACAAAATATCAGCTTCTTTAGTAAAAAATCTAACAAATTCACAAAAGAAAGGATAACAGTTTCTTTGTTTTTGAGAATCATAAGAAATTCTGGACCAACGATTAAAAAGCCAATCTGGTAGTTTTTCCAAAAGTTCTTCTATTTCTAAACTATCATTTAGAATGTTTAATGAATTCATTGAACTTATAGCTGATTCACATTGTCTTAAAAGATCAGCATAATTTCTAAGTCCTTTGCTATCTCGATTACTAATTTTAGAAGTGTCTTTCAGTTTTTGTCGCAGACTACATGCTATTGTAAATTGATTACCATAACGCTCCTCAAGTAAGGCTTTAGCATCATTATAGGCACCTTCAGTGTTAAAGAGGAAAAAGTTTTGAACACAAGCCTTGGCAGGACTACTTAAATATTTCTGTAAATAATACATTCTCTGTTCCGGCAAAATGTTTTTGTTTTCAATCAAAGTTTGGAATGATGCTTTCCATGCAGGATATTCTAATGCAGTTCCTGAAAATACTGTAGGTTCTGGAGGGGGAAGTCTATTTAAGTTTGCTTGTTCCACTATCAACTTACATAAATCACCAGTGTCTAATGTTACTGAGTTTTTAGAAACATCAAGACTAGCAGTGTTTCTATTGGCGGAAAAGATGAATTGGAGTAGTTAGTGTTTGTTCCAACTGTGGGTCTAGATTCTAACAAAGGTTCAGGAATGTAATTCATATCCAAATTCCTCTCAGCTTGGTCTGGAGATGACGTATAATCATTTCTTCTAACTTCTGGAGAAATCACAGTTTGTGGTGTAAGAACAGGCGGAATAGTTGAATTCAAATAAGTGTTCACTTTTGTACTATGATCTAGAGATTCATCTGGCACTGAAATTCGGTCTAACATTATAAGAGTTCATGTCTTGAATTTCTACCTTTTCTATTGCTTTTAATTTGGCTTCTGCAATATCTAATTTTTTCATAATGTCTAATTTTTGTAAAGCACCCTTCATTTCCTCAAATTCAACACGTTTACATTCTAAATCAATTTGATGTTGCTGTTCCAAATCATGGTAACGTAATGCAACTTTTGCAGCTTCTGCAGCTTTAAGTTTCCTTGTAAACGATGACGCACTAGAAATGCTAGACATTTTGAATGATAAATTCAGTTTAGCTCAAGATTATAAAGTTTGTCACTTTAAAATGAACACAGCTTTTAAGCAAACACAAATTATATTACTCCGACAGAGGAGTTTTCACTGCAATGGATCTTTAAGTAGTTGGGCGGTCTACTTCCGGAGCATTATGACGCAAAGCAACATGGGTCTCGACGGTCTTATCAGGTTGAACACAAATAACCAATGTAACAGTTTATTATAAAAGTATAAAAAGGACGCATCGCATTTACTCAAACAATATAACATTCATATCTATCTTGACTAAACTTCAATAAATATACTGGCTTCCAATAAACCAATCTAAGCTATACACTATTATGGACGAATAAGCCGAATAAGCCGTGAAAACTGAAAAATACAAAATAATCATTTTGAATAAGCTTATCGAATGAATACACAAAGTTACACCGAAAACGAAACAGATATACAATTAATAAACTAATGATACCTCCATGAGCCTTTGTAATTACTCAAATTTCGCAGCCCAAACAAATCTTTTGGCGCACTAAAGAAAAATATCAAAACCGGAAACGGAATAATCGAATATGTATACTTCGATATCGCAATAAAATCACGTATTCACACTGTGAATGTTGACTTCGAATCGGTGGATACTACAGCAGCTACATTGATCTATTCTCCCACAGAATGTATAGTTTTCGGCTTCTCTCGGACTTAAACCATACCCACCCATTATTATAATAATGGACAGTCACTAGTGAGTTAATTTTATAACACAACTCATGAAGTTGAGTAGATTTTATCATTAACAAATAAATCAAATGATTATCATTCATTGATTAGTCAAGCACCATGTCTTCAAGTGGAGAGGATGTGTTTTTAACCCAAACAACGTTTAGTGCTCAGCCAAATTTTCCCGTCACTTCGGAGTGACAAACTCATTGACGGAGTGACGAACTCACTGACGGAGTGACGTATGAGGTAGCCCTAGACAGGGGAAAACATTTCATCCGTCATTCGTCGATGCTACCTTACAAAATTACAGGGCTCTATGTAGGGCGCTTCTTCGTGTGTCGCTCCGGCATTGGTGTCAATGGATCCATCATTCCCGTCAGTCCGTCAATCATCCAAGTGACGGAGTGGCGAACTCATTGACGGAGTGGCGAACTCATTGACGGAGTGACGAACTCATTGACGGAGTGACGAACTCATTGACGGAGTGACGAACTCACTGACGTACTGACGTATGAGGTAGCCCTTAAACATACACGCCTTATTCATCCGTCACTCCGTCAATGAATCGGTAGCTCCGTCATTCATTGCCATTGGCTTAATCCGTCATAGGCGTCAGTCCGTCAATCATCCAAGTGACGGAGTGGCGAACTCAATGACGTAGTGGCGAACTCATTGACGGAGTGGTGAACTCATCGACGGAGTGGCGAATTCATTGGCGGAGTGACGAACTCACTGACGGAGTGCCGAACTCACTGACGTATGAGGTAGCCCTTGTGCATACACGCCTAATTCATCCGTCACTCCGTCACTGAATCGGTAGCTCCGTCATTCATTGCCATGAAAGAGCCCCGTAATTTTGTAAGGTAGCATCGACGAATGACTGATGAAATGCTTTCCCTTGTCTAGGGCTTCCTCATACGTCAGTGAGTTCGCCACTACGTCATACGGAGTGACGGGCCGTTTGATGGGGTGGTGGAATCCTTAGCAGAAAGACGGAAGAGGTATTCAATGGCTCCAATGACAGATATCAATAAAGTCCGGGGCTTTCAATTCAACCTAAAGGAATGCTAAAACTGAATGCCAATAAATTAGGTATTCAGTCCTGGATTGCTTCATACTTAACAACATATATGAGTTCACCACTCCGTCAATGAGTTCACCACTATGCCAATGAATTCGCCACTATGTCACTGCAATGATTGACGGACTAACGACAGATTGAAAAAAAAAAAAAGAAAATGATCAAGGAATCTAGGAAAGCGGTGAAAAAATCTCTCGCGATTTTGGTATAGTGAAAGTATAATAAAAAATAATATAATATCTCCATTGATCACAGCACATTTCAATATGGTTTGTAACTTACAAATGCATAATGTAAATATTGTCTAACAAATTCAGAAGCAACAATTCAAGTGTTGGAGTTTAACGTCTTTTTTCATTAAAAATGCAATATAATTATGACTACAAATTTTTTACATCATTTGTTCCATATTAAAGAGATTGTCCAAAGGTTTTTTTTAACTTCACATATGCATTGGGAACAATGAAAGGATCAATTTTCACCATTCCAATTTTCAATAGGACGTCTGAGGTTCATGTAATTCCCTTTAAACCATCGCAAAAACTGAAAATAATTCATAAGAAACTTTCTGATGGTGAAGTAATAAAACGCCCCCTCTCCCTTCGTTTTAGTAAAAATTAGAATGGTGCAAATCAGTGTCCCTGATAATCATAAAAAGTTTACAAAATCTTAAATAATAACCAGATGTAAATAATTACGGTAACTAAATTATAACCAAATTAATGTCAAAACAATAATGGGTGGAAGAGATAACTGTGTTCCCAGGAAAACTTTGACGCTGTTTTTGCCAAACAAAGGTCAATAACTAAAAATACCGTTAATTGAACATAAATTGAAGATCGAAGTTATTTCCAATATAGCATTCCAAATTTCGACAAAAGCAGAAGAAATTTTTTCTATAGTGATCACCAGTCCATTTCGAAGAAAAATCGCAAAAATTTCTCAACAATATACATAACATGCCAAAGTCCATCAAGATCAGGTTACAACTGCAGTCTCGATCGTATTCACATGCCAAATTCGTTTATTTTGGATAGATCAAAATCAATTAACTAAAAAATCGTTCATAAAAAAATCATATTAAAAGATGTACACAAAATTATACGTAAAAATACCAAGAACTGTTAAAATTCTGGCCTATTTGTATACAAGATATTTCACTTGCACGACCCATAAGCAAATTGAGATCGATATCCTGCAAGAATGTTGATATAGGTTCATACAATAATAGAAACGAATTACGATGCTTTAAAAACAAGAAAATCGAAGTCATTAGCTTCTATCCTATTTTCGTTTACTGATGGAAATTAGATATTCCCCAATTTGTACGAAATTCTTTTTGAGTTTTTGACATGTTCTATAGACGATTTGATTTAAATACTCCGTCAAATGTTGTTTTTTGTTTAAGAAAAAAAGGTTATAATATTGCAAGGTAGCATCGACGTATTGATGGACTCCAGTGACGGAGTGGCGAACTCACTGACGTAGTGACGAACTCATTGACGGAGTGGCAAACTCATTGACGGAGTGACGAACTCACTGACGTACTGACGTATGAGGTAGCCCTGACTCAAATTTTCAATTAAAAAGTGATCTATTTTCTGATATTACAAGTGAAGATGAACTGCCGGTTCAAGATGAGAAAGCTGACATGAGATTTGGAACACCGTTGAATCAGAACGATTTGAATAATTTAGTGAAAGATGGCTTATCTAAGAAAACTGAAAGTAAATCAAAGTAAATCAAAGTGAGCGGTGAATCTTTTTCAAAAATGGAGAGCTCACAGAGATGGACTAAATGTGGAGCATTGTGACATCCTTAACCTATCAAATGAACATCTTAATATGTTACTTGGATATTTTATAGCAGAAATCAAAAATGAAAAAGGTGATGATTATAAACCAAATACATTGTATGAAATCATTATTTCGATCCAGTATTATATGCGACAGAATGGTCGTTTTCTTTCTATGATGGATGATGGTGATTTTCGTGGAATGAAGGTTGTTTTGTATGCAAAAATGAAAGATTTGAACCGTCAGGGAAAATGTGTACAGAGGCGACAGGTCGATATTATAAATGAGAAACACGAAAACATGATGTGGAATAATGGGATTCTTGGAAGCAACAGTCCACAACAACTATTGGATACCCTAGTCTTTCAACTCGGTCTCCATTTTGCCTTAAGAGCTGGGCAGGAACATCGTAATCTTCGTACGGGTGCATTGTCTCAACTGACAGTCAAACTAGATAATCAGGACCTTAAATATTTAGACTATCACGAGGATGTTTCAAAGACAAATGAAGGAGGATTACAACATCGAAAAATGACACCGAAAATAACCAGAGCATATGAAAACAAAGAATACCCTGAGAGATGTCCAGTGAAAATGTATGAAAAATATATGAGCTTGAGGTAAGTTAATTATAAACTGTTAACTCCAATTGTGAATGCGATATGCTCACTGAATACTAGATGGGAACCAAATCACCAATACCAAATATAATTATGCCAATAATTACAGTAATTTTGAAAACACGCAATATCGTAAATAATGAACATTATGTTCAACGTTCTTTAAGATCTACAGGAAAACTTAATGTTTTGTTTTGAAAAATGCCAAATAATCAGTCGACTGTAATCTGCAAGCTGCATTTTAAAATAATTTTGTATATTGACTCTACTCGCGGCAACTGAGAAATCGCTAGATATGTCATTTATTAGATTATAAATCTATATACGTTTATATTACTTTTTTGTTCATTTCATTTTTTCCAGGCCTAAAAATGGTAAAGTGACGCGTTCTATTTGAGGCCACGAAACAACTACTCTGCAGAAGTTTGGTACTGCGATGCACCTGTTGGGATTCATTTGGTGCAGAAAACTGTTCAAAAGTTGTGTGAAAGTGCAGGATTAAAAGGTCATTTCACGAATCATTATTTACGTGCAACTGCAGCAACTCGACTATATGCAGCGGGCGTTGACGAACAACTTATTGCAGAAAAGACGGGACATAAATCGAATGCTAATTTAGATAAAAATTATCCATCTTTTACTTTATCAGAAGTTCACTTAATTTGATTACCTTAAAAATGGAACTCGAAAGCAGACATATCTTAATGAATTATTGTATTTTTTGAAAGATAAGAGGTATTAAAGAAATAGAAGATAATTATGAACAGGTATGGAAAACATGTAGAGATGATAATGCCGTAACACTAGTATCACCTTTAAAACTAAACGTATTTTCAAATATGAGTGATGATACTTTATTCGCTTGGGATTGTGAAACATATTCAGAAAGTGAAACGCATAAAGCAATTCCTTATTCCTGTACGTTAATTAATTTATAAAAACTAAGAAAAAAGTTAGAGATTATAAAAAGTATCTTTCCAAATCTAAATACTACTGATAATGTTCCAGAAGAATTTTATGATACACTAATGAATATAGTAGAAATATTTGTAGGTACAGATTGTATAGATCAAATGATGAAATATTTAGGTCAATATGATAGAAAGAGATTAATATTGATTTCTCATAACGGTAGTGGTTTTGATAACTGGATCATGATTAAAAACGTAAAAAAACTAACGCACTGCCCACTAATAACACCCAGAGGCATTCTATCTAGATTTACAGAAATAATGGAAAAGACAGAAAAAGATAGCGGGTAACTCTAATTATTTACAACATAATAATTTCACATGTTCCTAGTTCCTAGTTTAGCGGCATGGGGAAATTCATCTAATCTACCAAGGAAATTGAGAAAGATCGTGGATGTAGACATTGCAAAATATACCAAAGATAACTGGGAATCTTTAAGACACGAATAGGAACTTTACGCTAAACGAGACACCCTATGTCTTGGAGCATGCTTGATAAAATATAATGAAAAACAAAAACAAAGGAGGAAGAGTTTCGGCAAATCGAAAATCATTTGAAACTAACAAAATGGATGAAATTTGTAATGTATTAAAGGAATATACAGAACTCGAAAACATTAAAATAATTGAATTATTTAAAGAATATTGTAAAAGTAATAAAGATAAAACAGAGATTAATTCAAAACTTAAAAAGTACTAAACTAATGGCATTTGATTCTAACGGTTTATACGCTTCAGCAATGTCGGATTTAGAGTGTGAATATCCGAGATCAGAATTTTGTAGACCATTTTTACCAGAAGAAGAAAAAACAATTGAAAGACTCTTCAATGAACAAAAATTTAGACCAAAAACTGCTATTTTAAAAGTCTGGTTTGAGTATCTCACAAACATGTTCTTCCAACCGATACCAGCTAAAGATAAAATCAGTTTTACGAACAAAGAAGGAAAAAAGGAAACTGGCACTAAAATCGGATTCAGAAATGGTTTCTGTTATGACGTTTTAACATCGGTCGATATTCAAGAAATAGTAAAATCTGGAGGACGAATTATTAGAATATTAGATGGTATAGTATACGAAGAAAACTTTAGAACTCCTCCCTATAGAGAATATCATTTAATTCTAAGAAATAAATATAAACGAGA